CGATTTACTGGCCAAAGTGAAGATGACACGTGCTAATCCGACTGCTTCGCCTATAGTTGTAGCTAATAAACTCTCTAAGGATGAAGGTGACTTGTTAGTTGATGCATATGAATTTCGCAGCATTGTTGGATCCTTGCTATATATTTGCCATACTCGACCTGATGTGGCTCTTAGTGTGAGCAAAGTTGCTCAGTACATGCAAACTCCTCGCGAATCCCATTTTATGGCAGTTAAAAGAATCATTCGATCCTTGGCAGGCACTGTGGACTATGGGTTGTTGTTTTCAACTGCTGGCTCTAATATGTCTATTACTGCATTTGCAGATGCAGACTGGGGAGGTGATTTTGATGACAAACGGTCGATGTCTGGTCATTGTGTATTCCTTGGCAAATGTTTGGTGTCCTGGCAGTCAAGGAAGCAAAAGACAGTCTCTCGGTCAACCATGGAAGCCGAGTATAAAAGTCTTGCGGATGCAGCTGCAGAGGTCACTTGGGTGAATACCGTTCTTGCTGATTTAGGTAAAGACTTGACTTCAACACCAACAATCTAGTGTGATAACTCAGGAGCTGTTGCAATGAGTGCCAATCCGATTTACCATGCCCAATCCAAGCATGTTGACCTCGATGTTCATTTTGTGCGGGAAAAGGTGGCAGCCAAACTTCTACGCGTTCAATATGTCCCAGCCTCTCATCAGATTGCTGATGGATTTACCAAGCCATTAGCTAAAGGTGATTTTGAATGTTTTCGTGATCAGGTTAAGGTGTGTTTAGTAGAAAAACAAGGGAAAAAGTAGGGGGAATATTGAACATAGAAGATGTTGAGTGTGATGCATATGCCAAGAAGGTTGCAGCAGAGGATAGTTAGCACTCAGGTTGTTTAGCAGGCTGTTATAATTGGTTGTAACAATGGCTAGAACGTTAGGCAGTTAGTTGGTTGCAGCATGAGTGTAATGTATATAAAGCAAGAACTATACTTTGTAAAATCAGATTATCAATTTCATTCAAAGCATTCTTTACAGCAGTTTACTATCTTAGATAACATTTCAATATATAGCCATCAGGTCCAGGGCTTTTATTTTTCCCCTGCTTGAACAAAGCATCCTTGATTTCAGCATCAGTAATCACACCAGCAAGGAGATCCTCAGCTCCAGCAGGTAGAGAGTAATTCAGAACAGATTTAAGCTAGCCAACAGAACAACCCTTCACCCCTGAATCAACAGACCCTATAAGGCTCTTAAAAAAATTCTAGCTCAGCTACCATGTCATCAAAAGTTTCATGGAACACCCCACTTTCATCCTTAATGACTTTGATAGTATTCCTCTTCTTATTCAATTCCACTCTATGATGAAAAAACCTAGGGCATAAAATTATTATCTCGCCCAGGGCATTAAAGTCCATTGGACCGGCCCTGCCAACAGTAATCTTATCTTTCAATCTCGTAGAGGTCGGCATCAGCGAGTTATGGAGCAGTGGATGTCAACACTACAACCACTCCTCCACTACTACTCGTCACCTCAACCTCAAACTCACGTTCCTCCTCCGCGATGGAAACAGGAGGGTCCTCAGATCGGCCCCTAAAAAACTACACCAGGCGAGGCCACGGTTGGTTGTCCTCCTCCCTCCACACCCACTTTCTCTCGAGGCCCTATATCCACAACAACTCCCTTCGCAGTAATGGGCGGCGACACATACCATAAGAAGTCAAAATATCCCCCTTTTCCTCCTCTAACCCAATAACTACTTTCGCCAATATATCCTCTCCCCGTAAGCCCACGACTCCCTACTACCCTCGCAGTAATGAAGGCGTATGAAACCAGTTGGGTAAAACTCTGTGATGCCGTCCAAGATGCAAGATCGGATGGAACCTTTATAGAGTGTCACTGTTGTTTCTGGTCAGCTTGTTTACAGCAATTTGGCATATGTGCGTCCTATTATTGCAATACTGCAAGAAGAAAAGACTTCGACCTCATATTCTGCTACCACCCTTCTTGACCAGGTTATTGATGAAGCACTTAGCCAGATTTAGTTCAAAGTGAAGGCACATATATGCACTAGCACGTGTGTATCCTATCTATATGTACTCAATAAATAAAAAAAATATTTGATCTTGTAATCCACCTCCGTTTAGCAATCCGAATAAAAATCTTTTTTCCCTTCCAATCCATCATAATCTCAAATTATCAAACATGAGAGCTACTGCATAGAACTAAACCAAGAAACTAGAACTACAGAACTAGGAAACAATTTACCTAATCCATCATATTCTTTTTTACAATTTCCCGGTTCTAAAGAACTCGTCCATCAAACTCTTGAGGTCCTATTTGACAATATTCCAGCATTTATTTCATATTTGTGGGATATCCAGCTTTCTGCTAGCAGCGAGTTGTAAGTATACATTTGTGTGTTTATCAGTGTAGGTCATAACCTTGGTAGATTAGCTTCACGTTGTTGTTTTCGTTTTCTTGTCCTTAATACGCCGGCTTTGATATAAGAGCCAAATTTCTTTAGATATTAAACTTGAGAGAAAGTACCTAGTTCATGCATCAACTTAATAGTAAAAAACTATTTAAATACCAACTCAAAAAAAGTATTTAATTCAGATATTTTTTGAGAGAAAAGAAAACCTGAACTTTCGTTTAAGCCAAATTTTATCAAATTTATTTAGTTCGGATATTCTTCCACGTGTTTGTCACTTACTGTGTCTAACAACCTTTTGTTTTGTTTTGTTTTGATGCCTAACCACCTGTCTTTTAAGTAAAAACTATTAACACCGTTAAACTATAAATTACCATCTCTTCATTAAAAATATTAAATATATAATAAACTCTATTGAATTTTAATTTTAATATTTAATTAAATTACTGACATGATATTGCTCGATTATAATAATGTCTTTATTAAGTATCACCTATTATAATATGATTGGTCGATGAAATACCCCATCAACATTATGTACTAATTTAAAGATTTTTTTTTAAATTTACAAATCGATAATTCTTTTCAAGTTTGGGTATCAATTTTACACAAAATATACTATTAATATTAATAGATGGGTGTGAGAAAGATAAGATTCAATTACACAGTGTAATTTTATATATATTTAATATTTAAATTAGGCACGTTCTCTTAAATAGGACTCCTATCATTCCTGTTCATGATTAATATTTATACATATTTTAGACAAAATATGCATTCAATATTTAAATTAGTCACGTTCTCTTAAGTTGGTATCTAGAATTTTTTTATTTCGTATCTAAATTAGACACATTCTCTCAATAAGTATTTAAAGAACTTTTGCTCCCAAGTTGATACCAAAACTTTAATTCCAAAAATAATTTTAACACTTTTAATATTAAAAAAAAAAATCAAAGTTAAAGAAAACATATATGATGGCGTTATTATTGACACATAGAACAATTTAAAAGTAAAAGATATTTAAAAAAATATTTTTTTTGATATACTCAAAAGAAAATATTTAGGTTATCACTTTATTAAAAGGTAACATCGCTAAAAAAATACTAAGTGGATAGAATTAAATTTCGTATTCTGATTCAAGAGGAAAATTTATTTAGATATCAGTTTGAGATAAAGTACATAATTCATCTATCAACATAAAAAGTAAAAAATATTTAAATTCCAACTCAAAAGAAAATATTTAATTAAAATATTATGTTATTACGTTATTAAAAGATAATATCATTAATAAAAATATTAAGCAGATAAAATCAAATTTCAAATTCTAATTTAGGAGAAAAAATTCTTTAGATGTAAACTTAAGAGAAAGTACATAATTCATGTATCAACTTAAAAATAAAAATTATTTAAATACCAACTTAAAAGAAAATATTTTAGTTCAAATATTATGTTATCACTTTATACAAAGGTAATATGATTAATAAAATGTATTAAGTGGATGAAATTAAATTTTATATTCTAATTTAAAGCCAAAATTTCTTTAGATATTAAATTTAAAAAAGTAGCTAATTCATATATCAATTTGAAAATAAAAAAAACATTTAAATTTCAACATAAAAGAAAGTATTTAGTTCAGATATTTTTTTTGAGAGAAAATAAATCTTATCAAATTTTATTCTTTCACGTGTTTGTCACTTACTGTGTCTAACAACCTTTTGTTTTGATGCCCCACCACTTCTCTTTTAAGTAAAAACTATTAACACCGTTAAACTATAAATTACCGTGTCTTCAAAAATATATTCAGACTAATAAATATACAGTTTGAACTCTTAATCTGACTTTATGAAGCATAGTGAGCAAGTATATTCTAGTAATGCATGCATTGCCAATATGCCGTTGCCACTGCACTACAAGACGAGTGTACGATAAGATATTTAATCAGTGATGGAACCATCTTGATTTGACTAGGAAGAAGTTGAATTATGAGTAACAAAAATTGTTATAAAAGGCCTTCTCCTCCTCCTCCTCTTGGAAGCACGTCCAAATCAAAGCATTGCAAAACTCTCCATTTCCATTAAAACAATTGTTCTCAAATGAAGGTGTGGGTTGTGTTGGCAGTGGCGCTGTTATGGGGTTGTTCCATATCCATGTCCCAACCACCGACAGTCACATTCGATCTTAGGACTGCCACTGGGCGTACCTATAGGTTTTTTATAGAACAACTCAGAACTGAATTGGTCCGATATGGAAACACCGGTGAATTCCGGTTCTTACCCCCACCGAATCATACCAGAACTAGTCTCCGTCGTATGTTTTGGTGCAACTGATCTTAGATAGGGACAAAAACGTCACAATAGCTTTGGACGTCACCAATGTGTATGTTTTGGGTTATCGACCAGGAACCGGAACGAGGTCACACTTCCTTCCCAGTGTTTCCGAAGCTGTGCGAAATGTTGTGTTCCCAAACACTGAAGGAAGGACTTCCATTTACTGAACGTTAAAATGCTGCAGGAGTAGGTCACATTTTTAATGGCAGAAGTCTAATCCCCCAGGGAATTGGAGAGCTACGCTATCATATTCAGAACATGATCGACAACGAACCTACTCCTCCACATGATCGCTCAATCGCAAGAGCCCTTTTAGTTTGTATCCAGATGATTTCGGAACCTGCGCGATATAGATACATCGAGGGAGAAATAGTTGATATGGAACAGCCTCTTCCTGACGGAAGTTATCGACAGTTATTTCCAGATGATTTAATGATGGAGTTTCAAACCAATTGGGGTTCCATCTCCGCAAACGTCCAGTCTGCAACGTTTGGAGTCTTTCCAGATGATGTCCGTTTAGCACTCGATCCTCGAGACCCACTGATTTTCGACACCGTGGCATCCGTGCGTTTCATTGTTGCATTAATAAAACTATGCCAACCCCGAAGATCTAAACTGCAGTTTTTGCAAATGCCAGCATCAATATCATCCTCTTCTTTTCCTATGGCTATGAGATCCACCGGCCTCCAACTCTAAGAGGACGATGAAACTTGTGACGCAGTGATAGCTCCAACGTCGTACATCATTGGACAAAATGGTCTATGTATCGACGTATACCAGGAAAAGTACAGCGATGGAAACCAAGTTATCTTATGGCCATGTGGAAACAATAAAGTCAATCAATTGTGGACATTGAGTTCAGAGGATAACACAATTCGATCCAACGGAAAATGCTTAGTCACTTATGGATACAACTCTGGAAGCTATGTGATGATCTACGATTGTGACGCGGCTGTCCCCAATGCCACCAAATGGGAAATCCATAACGATGGAGCTATAAGACATCCTAGATCCGGGTTGGTCTTGACGGAAAATAAAGATAGTTCAGGGACGACTATCCTAGTTTTAGATTATCTTACTAATGCTTCGAAGCAAGTTTTTTATGCCAGCAGATATGCAAGCTCACCGATAACCACCATTGTCAGTTATGAAGGACAGTGCTTGCAAGCAAGTGGAAGTCAAGGGTGGCTGAAAAAATGTTCAGCAAAGGATGCTGAACAACAATGGGCAATATAGCCAGACGGGACCATCAGACCTGGATCGAATCAAAAGAGTGTCTCAAGTATGCAAATGCTGGTGGATCAGGTAGTCAACCTAGAAACGTGCGATGGATGGATTGGAGAAAGATGGAGATTTCAAAATGATGGAACCATTTTGCATGTGGGAACTCAAAAGGTGCTGGATGTGGAAGATACAATGATTACAACAAACAGCGACTTGGCCAGATTTAGTTTCAGGGGAAGCCATAAACATTGAAGCATATTAGCGTGTGTTTATATATTGAATAAAATAAATGTTGGATCCTGTATTCCAATTATATGTTAACCGTATGTTGTGTATGCCACCAAGTGCAGATGGTTAGGTTGTATTGTGTGAATCTGGTTAGGCGGTTGGGGTTCTGTTGAGGTTGTTTGGAGTTTTAGAATCTTCAGCAGTGCAACCTCCTCTTCACTTGTATATATCACCTGGTCTTTTTGGGATATTACAGGTTAATTAAATAAAATGCAGAGAGTGTCGTCTCTCTTCCGATTCCCTGGTTATTCTAACATGGTATCATTGGGCGTTGTTCTCAAGCTTCCGTTTTGGTTTCTTGTGCGTGATTCTATCTTCTTTTTTGCTTTGCCATGGCTGGTGGTTCTTCTCGGGTAATGCTGGTTGTACCTCTCCGGGGACGAGTGATGTTACCGATTCGTCCAAAAGTTTACATTCTTCTACGACGGTTATTCAACATCTACCAAAGCTAGATATACTCGAACTCTCCAAGAATAATTACATTCTCTGGAAGCACCGGATTCTATTGATTGTGGATGGATACGGTTTATTGAAGTTTGTCTCTGATAGTTTACATTCTCCGGAGTAGTTTTATCTCAACTGAGGACGGGCTTTTAGTTGAAAATCCTCAGTTCTTATTCATCGGCAGCAGGATAAGCTCTTGGTGCATGGCTGTTGTCAACGGTTTCTCGGAGGTGTTATCTCATTTGGTCGGGCTCACGACTGCAGGTGATTTCTGGAAGGCAGTCTTTAGGTTATTTGAAGCTCATTCGACTGCAGGATGGGCACCAAGTAGTATTTTGGCCATGTGGACATAATCGAACCAATAAATTGTGGACATTGAGATCAGACGATAACACAATTCTATCCAACGGAAAATGCTTAACCACTTATGGATACTATTCCCAAGCCGATGTGATGATCTATGCTTGTGACAAGGCTGACTCTGATGCCACCAGATGGGAAATCCAGAGTGATGGAAGTATAAGAAATCCTAAAACCGGGCTGGTCTTGAATGGATTTCAATATAAATATTCTTCTACATATAGAGTTCAATGTTAATGCTTCTAAGCAAAGTTTTACTGTCACCCCAAACACAATGTCATCGGTGACCAGTTACAATGGCCTGTGCTTGGTAGAAAATTGAAGTATGGTGCAGCTGGAAAACTGTGCGAGTAAGGATACTGAACAAGAGTGAACAATATACCCAGACGGGACCATCAGGCCTTGGACGAATCGAAATGAGTGTCTCGGGTATACAAATCCTGGTTAGATAGTGGTCAATGTAGCAGCGTGCGATGGGTGGATTCCAGAACGATGTAACCATTTTGCATGTAAGTACTGGAAAGGTGCTGGATGAGCTTACGCTCAATGATTACAACCAACAACAACCTAGTTAGATTTGGTTTTAGGTGCAGCCATAATAGCCAGATTTGGAACATCGAAGCATATGTTAACTTCTTTATATGTATGGAATAAAAAGGTGTTGGATCCTGTAATTCAACACCATCTGTTAGTCAAATAAAACACTTCAATATTACAGCATAATAACAAATAATCAACATCGTGTTGTGCTCACCTTCCATCTGGTTTAGTTCTGTCATCGTTATATTATACAAGTTGATCCATCTGGTTTAGTTCTGTCATCGTTATATTATACAAGTTGATAAATGATCAAATATGTTTAATCATTCGATATTTCTACATTTATGGGTGTCATCGTTACTCTTGAAGTTAGAGTCAGTAAATCTGTAGCCAATTTGGTTCAAGGTACAACGATGACAGCAAAAGCGCACAGTATACATTCATCTCCACTGGCAAGGTATAAACTTGAAAATGGATCAAACATTAAACTTTGCTAATCCAAACCTGATTAACTGTCTAGTTTATTGCAACAATATTTGCCAGTTACATCGTGGTAACATCAAAGTAGCAGCAGAGTCAGTTAGATGAAAAATTTGTAACACAGTAAATAAAGGGTAAAATAAAATCAAAAGGATGTTTCTCCTATTGCTATTTAGCTAATAGCTTTGATCCCGAATGCCAATCTCAAAAAGAGTCTTCATTCCTTGTTTTTTTATCACTTTGCCATAACCCCTCTTCCCAACTTCATTGCTCTATCGAATTCCACTACACCACCGCTGTTCTTCAATCCATCTACAACAACCTTCAATACCCCTCTTTCGCTTCCCAACTTCTACTACACTGTCCACGATGGCCTCCATTTTCGGAATTTGCCTGCTCCACCGTTTCATCGACCTATCCGAACCATATACCTCAGCATACGCAGGCCAATAGGAGGCCCTCAAGTAGCCCTTCCCTTTTCCCCTCACTGCCCATCTCTTCATACCTTCCTCCAACCTATAAACTGCACCTCCCACATCTAGCCTTTTTCAAGGCCTATCTCAATCTCTCTCAACTCTTGCTTCGGACAACCGCAGTTCCTTCAAACTTGCATCGGCTACATTGCAGTTAAATCCCCACGACATTGACATTTCTGCACGTTTCTCAAACGGAGAAAGCGTATCAAAATACATGAACGTGATCTCTTCGCCGGCCTTGACATCTCTCGAAGCGTGAACCATAACATAGTCCCCTACATGCAAACGTCTCGCATTCGGATTGCACGAATGATTGATGAAGGAAGCCAGTATCCATAACCCAATACCATAAAAATCACTGTTTTTCCCTAATACTTTAGCCGAAACAGCCTCTTCCACAAGAGAATTGACATCCAAATGCTTAAAATCTTATCCATATCGAGCTCCTGGTCCTTTAAACAGCCCATTTAACTCGATCTCAGGCCTAAAGATACTCATACAGGGACTTCAAGGTCCACTTCATCTTCACCTGTGGATAGCATATTAATCAAAAGCTGTGTTTCTTGACATTTTGTGACAGTTTCCTTAACTTTATCTATGAAATTCTTCCACATAACGAGCTGTGCATTTTCAGCTGAATCTTGACCTCCCAAAATACCTCTTTCAATCGCAATAGCCTTAGTGACCAAAAGCAAAGTCCCGCATCGATATTCTTTGAAGCAAACAATCCCCGGCCACTAAGCTCAGACCTCTTAACCACAACCGGACCGATATATTCAGCAAGTTCCGGAGGCATTCCTTTGAGCCCATTAAGGACCCAATCAGAAAGATCAAAACTTCCCGTCCTAGATTGAAACTCGAGTTTCTTACATTTCTCTAAGTACCCATTAACAATATCGAGATTCCCATTACCCTGGGGTCAAATAGAGCTGCTTTGAAGCATCCAAAGCATTTAAATACCTGTTCAGACTAAGCAAGATCTTACCTTTGCAATACAGAGTCTTGAAATGGGTGGGTTCGATTCGAAGTGCTCCGTCACAATCTTGAAGTGCTCGGGTGAAATCTTGCAGCTTCGACCTTGCCTCGGCTCGATTCGAGAAGGCAATACAGAGAGATTTGTTGAGCTTGGAGAGATGATCTGGGTCTGGGTTGGGATCTTGATTGGTGTTTGAAATTCGGGCTTGGCAAACATCGATTAACTGAGAGTAAAGGTGTATAGAATCTCCCCATTCTTCTCTGAGGAGAAGCACGGTGGCTTGTGATCTGAGCTGCTGCATTTGCTCTTCGGCGGCAGACATTGCTTATAGTGTATTTCTTCTTCTTTTTTCTTGCTTCTTGGTTTTAATTTTTTTTTTGGGGGGTGGGGGTTATGAATAATGTAACGGTCATATCTTTCGGTCTTTATTTTTTCCCCGTATTTTTGAAGCCTTTTAACGGATTATTTTTACAATTGCAACGGCTATATCAGGCTTGTTTTTTTTCCCCTTTTGTTGTCAGATCCTGGTATTAGTCTCTGTACTCCGCATAAATTGTGAATGTTGTCCTAATACTATAATTTGGGAAATGTCTCAGGAAATGCAGGTTAATATACGATTAATATATGACGTTGTCAGATATATTAAAAGATATTTAATAAATTTGATTTAGCGTTATCGGAAATATTGACTAATAATAATGTAGTAGGTCTAAGTCATGAAGAAATATTAAAAAATTGTGCAACCGACAAACTTAACTTGTCGGTTCGTGTCGATCCAAATTAAAAATGTATCGATCCACAACGATATAACATATAAACTGACAAAACCGGTATTGAAATGATAAACCGGTTAAAGCGGTACATGATATATTTAAAGTGTCGGTACTTTAATATAAGGATCGACACTTCGTTAATTAAAAGAGAAGCAGTTTTAACGCCTATAAAGTGTCGATACTTTAAAAAAAATGTATCGATCCACAACGATATAACATGTAAAAATATGATAAAACCGGTATCAAAATGATGAAACCGATAAAACGCTACCGGATGTATTGAAAGTGTCGATACTTTATATAAGGATCGACACTTTGTGAATTAAAAGAGAGCAGTTTAGCGCTTATAAAGTGTCGATACTTTAAAAAATGTATCGATCCACAACGATATAACAGGTAAAAATATGATAAAACCGGTATCAAAATGATAAAACCGGTAAAACGCTACCAGATATATTAAAAGTGTCGATACTTTCGTAAGTACGTGTAATAAATTATCGATACTTCAAAGAAATACGTAATTATCTTTTCGAAAGTATCACCTGACATAAAAGTATCGACACTTTTGTATTTGTATCGATTAAATATAAATACATATCGATGAAAATATAAAGTCCATAGCTAAATATCCTGAAAATAGATAGAACATACGAGTTTTTGAAATCGAAGCGTAAT